AAACTATTCAGTCTATCTCCCAACTGACCATCACATACAAATTCATTAATTCCTTTAATTTATTTGTAAACTTGATATTTTGGTGCCCCCTCTGTGAATTCCTTAATTATTGGCCCCTTAATTAAACATTGATCAATCAATGAGCAATTATTTTGATTTTTCAGGACAAAACATCAACCATCACCTAACATTACATAACGTAAATCAACAGAAACGAATCTCTGCTCAAGCATACTGTTTTAAGTGTTATCCTATACCAGAACGATTTACCCTACAATTCTTCTACTTTCGGTTGTGGTCAGAATCGATTGGAGCGTTGACGGTCACCAAAATAACGCAGGAAATTTTCGAAAGCGTTATACGGTTCGAAATCGGGGAAGTACATCCAAGTCGATTACGACAAAGAACCACCCAGTTATTGAACACTCTTATATTCGACACCGTAATTGATCTACAAAAAAAAGAGGAATTAATAAATACAGCGGTTGAGAAGATTCAAGATCAGACCTTTCGATTAGGAACTTGTGGAACGGATACGGACGAAGAAATACAACAACATTCCGAAGCTGACAGTAATATTTTGGAAAATTGGCAGGAGTATTTGGCCGATAATCCAACACAAACAAATAACGAGAATCATGACACTAACGAATTGGAATCTACAAGTCAAAATAGACAATTAATTAATCTAGGACAAAATAACGAAACTAGCGAGGACGAGAAAGAAGGATATTGGTCCGAAACTCGACACTCCAACAATTCCAGTGACGACCAAATCATAACCGACGACTTGGAGCGTACAGGATCAAATAACAACGAAATACTTGGTTTGAATAGCGGAGACGAAAACGTATCAGTTCGGTCGGATGACTCCAGTGTGCCCGATCTGTATCAAATTGATCAAAATTGGGATCTACACGTAATTAATAATCTAAATAATTACGATAATCAGGAATATCTTCAAGGAACGGACGAAGAGATACCTAGTGAAGTTTCAACTGAAGCAACAGGCAATGAAAACGAATCGGATGACGATATGGACGGAGTAGTACAGGCAATAGGAAATTTAGTGAATGAGATGCAGGCTCAACAACAGAGAGGAATGGAAAAAATGATAATACCAATTCGAAAGTACCGGGGAACTGATCAAGATCCAGTTGAATGGCTACGAGACTTTGAAGTAGCCTCTCAAGCCAATGGAATCACCGACGACCGGAAAATTGCTATTGTACGGGGATACCTGGAGAGATCTGCTTCGGCATGGTTTGATGAGAAACGACGGACGAATATTCAAAATTTGGATACATGGTCCAACAATGCACATGATCATCGAGACTTTAGGCACAGTTTTACCACAAAGTTTCGAACACAAAAATGAATTGATCGGTGGCAGGACGAACTTGAGACACTCCAACAGACTGGAGCTGTCGACGCGTACACCGATAAGTTCTACGAGTTGATTAGAAAAGTCGATCCAGAAAATAGATATCCCGACGATTATCGTACTCGAACATACAGACGAGGTCTCAAACCGAAAATTCGAAAGTGGGTACAGGTGACCACTGATGGTACTCTTGCGAATATGATCGAGAAAGCGTGGGAAGTTGAAAAGACAGAAGCTGATATTGAAATTAAGAGCCATTCCCAAGTACACCCGACGGTGATGCTTGCCAATGATGAAGTATTGAACGCAATTCAAACGCTCACCAGAAAAATCGAAACGATCGAAGCCGGTAGAACCTCTCGATCGAACCAATCAAACTACAATAATCGATGGAATAATCAAACTGTTGATAATGGACCGGTGTGTTATGATTGTGGAGAAGCTGGTCACATATGCCCAAATTGTCCAAATGCCAATAGAAACCAAACTGGTGGAAATAATTGACGAGAGTTTTCTCAAAATAAAAATAATAATCGACATAATCAAAACAACAACCATCCAAATTGGAGAAACCAATCACAAGATGCCAGGCAAGATAATTTAACTAGTAATAGTCAATCGACGAATAATCAGTTACTACAACAATTGCAAGTGCTTACAGATATTATTCAAGCCAATACGAACGGAAATGATGGTTGTACATATCTTGGAACACATGAGTATTATCCGGCCGAACGATCTAAACCAAAGGAACGGTTCAACCCAACGGCCAAACAACATAATACGCGAAGTAAAGACAAGCAGAAAGAAGAAATGACTGATCCTCCAGTCAACGAAGTCTTTGATAATCCCGAAATAGAATTTATTCCGGAAGACAATGAAATGGACGAAGCTGGACCTAGCCAACCAAAACCACATCAGCAGGAGATAAATATTGAAAAGAAACTTCGGAAGAAAAAGGGAAAACCAATCTTACCGGTACTAGCTACCAAAGCTTCCCCGTATGATATCGTGGAAGATCTTGCCAGCATCAAGGTGAACATCACGATGGTCCAACTGATCGAGACATCACCAGCACAGAGGATAAAAATGTCAAAGGGAATGCGAAGACCAATCCAGAAGTTATCAAAAAAACGGAACTTCCTACAAAAAGTAAAGACTACCTCAGCTTGGTGTGAGGCCTTTATCGGTAAGACTCCCGTAGTCCTGATTATCGACACCGGCGTGTCTGGATGCGTGGTCATGCAAGAATTCCTGAAATGAAATCAGATTCCAATACAACAACCATCAAATATAAAAATGTCGAACATCAATGGATTATCGAAACAACCTTTGGGCGCCATTGACGGATTTAAAATTACCCTGGGTAATATTACTATACCGGCTAATGTCGACGTTATGAAGGCTAAGAATTTTAGTGTCCTCGTAGGAATGGATTTCTTAGGAAAGATCAGGGCGAATATCGATTTCCAAAAGAAAACCATGGTTTTTCGGTGGGAAGAATGAAGGGGTGAGGTCCCTGTTAAATTTATCCATTCAATTAAAGAAGTATCCGACAACGAGGCTAACCCAACTGCTTCAGAGTAAGAGAACGAATCAGAAAGTGAGGAAGACATCGACAGTGAAATAGAAGTTGAAAAACAGAATTTAGAGAAAAAGAATTTTTTAATGTACACCACGACCGAAAACGATTGGCAAACCACTCGACCACGAACTTGGAGAACTGAGTTTCCTGTCGAAAGACCAGATTACAGTAAATAGAAATCCATCAAGCACTGACCGTACGCAATATCGATTTTAGATTTTAACCAGGTACCTCAGCAGATAATCCGGAGTGTTAATGTGATAGCAAACGTGAAAGTATATCGCGAAGGTCTTAAAATCCAATCACAATACTATACCTGGAAGGAAGCCAACCTCATTAAGGGAAGATTCCAATGCCCATATTCACAATCGACTAGATGGGGTTACGACTGGAAAGGACCAAGGAAGTATTGTTGGTGTGAAGGACAACTAGTCACTGCATACCAGCAATGTCGGAAGTGTTATAATGACTTGTCTAAATGGATAGCTATTGAAAGGTTTAAGCTGTATGGAATCAATTGGAAAACTGAAAATGATTGGGCACAAGAAGCGGAACAGGAGTTATTCCTATCTCAAAGAGTTAGAAGGAAGTTTCAACACTACGGTGAAGCGGCGGAGATTATTACACCAATCACCCAGATCGATAAATGTGCCAAATGCCATTTATATTTGGATCATTACTATCTCAACGTCTACTATCAATATAGTGACACTCAAGCCGAAGCTTGTGAAGATTGTTATCGAGAGAAGTGACTCGGACTCCCCACTTGCGAATTGTACGAACAACGAGATAACGCGAGATCCATGTATATTACCAGTTCATATGAGAAACGGTACTTTTGTGACTATTTACATCAAAGCGTATGGTGGTTTAACCGAGGAGGATGACAAAATAATCGACGAATGATAGCAAAACTTTGTGACCGATATGGTCTATACAAAGTATACCAAATGTGCAACGAAATTGGACGAGCAATCGTCACCAGATACCTACAACCTGGTGAGTTAGAAAACGAAATGGAAATAATCCTGTACGAAGGGATAGAGGAAGCAACACCTACCGAAATTTTCCACCAAATTTATCAACAACTTACCGGGGAACGTCAGCAACAACTAGCACGGCTGGAATATATCAACGTGCGTTTATGTGAAGAATGTTTAATCCCATGTAAAAAAGAATGGTGTGACAATTGTTGTCAGATAAATGTCGATACGAAAGATCGAAATGTTAAATTACATATCGATAAAGGAAAACAATGGATGCCCATCATTGAAGAAGAAATGGAAGATCCGATTCGGGAGAAAGATCATAACATAGGAAACGATATTAATAATGGAAATAACGGTTGTACGTCAAAAGATAAAACAATGGAACAACTTGATACATGTCCAAAATTGGAATTGAATATCCAAGTCGGTGGCGACGAATTTTACCAATATTGTTATCAACTCGTACAACAATGGAATCTTGATACTGGATGCTTTGAAAATGACGTTGAAAGAAGAGATGAATCACGTAGCCCTGAGAAATCACAGACTAGTTTTTACGCGGTCAAGGTATACACCAATCATGGCAAAGGGAGAATACCACAACAGGCTCACACTGCGGATGCTGGATTTGATATCTACTATCCTGGAAATGAACTGACCGAAGTAGTGCCTCAACAAACTAAAATTATTGATTCTTACATCACCTTTGAAGTTCCAGAAGGAACCATATGTCAATTGAAGAGCCAATCATCTCTCGCCAAACGGGGAATTGAAGTAAAAGCAGGAACGATCGATGCTGGATATGTGGGAAATATTGGAGTGATGTTAAAAAATGAATCCAACGAAAAGTATGAAGTGCAACCGGGAGAAAGGATTGCACAGGCGATATTCCTAAGACTAGCTAATGTTGAAAGGTTACATTTAGTGGAAACACGTGAAGAATTGGGAGAAAGTAGTCGAATGACCAAAGGTTTTGGATCCACGGGAAGATCGATCTCGTCAATGAATACTTCATGGAAAAAGACGAATGGAAACCAATGACAAAAAAAAAAACTATGACGTCCTCAGAACAATCTCAATTCGACCAAGTTATTAACGAAAATCGAGACCTATTTACAGCTGATATTTACGAATTGGGACGAACGAATCTCGTCGAACATCGAATTACGACCGAAACTGAGATCCCGATCAAACAAAGAGCATATCAGGCAACGCCAGCGGACAAGGAATTCATCCATGAAGAAATACAAAGAATGCTCAAGGCCCAAATCATCCGTCCTTCTAACAGTCCGTGGGCATCACCGGTCGTCATCGTATCTAAAAAAAATGGTAAAAAGCGTTTTTGCGTAGACTATCGTAAATTAAACAACATAACAAAAAAGGATGCTTATCCTTTACCACGAATCGACGAAATGTTGGAAGATCTAATTGATGCTCACTGATTTTCCTCTATCGATTTGGCATCTGGCTATTGGCAAATCCCGATTGCCGAACAAGACAAAGAAAAGACCGCTTTTGTTTGTAAGGAGGGATTATTCGAATTTAATATGATGCCGTTTGGATTGTGCAATGCACTGGCAACGTTCCAACGAATGATGGATCGACTATTCCAAGATTATAATCAACACTTCACTTTGACGTACATCGATGACATCAACATACACTCAGCCGTGTTCAACGATCATTTAACACACATACGAAAAGTATTCAATAAATTCCGAGGAGCGAACTTAAAGTTGAATCAGGAAAAATGCGATTTTATTAAAAGCGAATTACCATTCTTAGGGTATGTCGTCAATAGCGATGGTATTGCTCCGGACCCAAATACAATTGAAAAAGTAAAAAATTACCCAACGCCACGAACGGTTAAACAAGTTCGCGGATTCCTAGGACTGGTCAGCTACTATTATAAGTTTATATAAGGATTCTCGCAAGTGGTAGCACCAATGTACAAATTACTCCGAAATAATGTAGACTTTCACTGGAATCATGAACAACGAGACGCGTTTGAAATATTAAAAGAACGATTAATGATGACACCAATACTCGCATATCCTGACTTAACAAAAAAATTTTATTTAATTACTGACGCATCTGATGATGGGTTGGGTGCCGTACTCACACAAAGGGACACAGAAGGGCGAGAAAGAGTTATATCTTACTCCAGTGTGACTCTAAAACAGGCGGAGAAACGATACTCCACGACTGAAAAGGAAGTACTTGCAATTATCTGAGCAGTTCGTCAATACTGGCAATACTTACTCAGTACAATTTTCGAAATCATAACTGACCATAATGCCCTTCGTTGGCTCTTCCATAAACAACGAAACCCTGGACCGCGTGTCGCAAGGTGGATAATGGAAATGATGGAGTATATCTTTATGGTAACCTATAAACCTGGACGTGTTAATAATAATGCTGACGCACTATCACGCATCAGCTCGAATCAGTGACGAAATCGTGATTGACGAAGTAAACTCTAATTAATTAAAAAGAAAGGGAAAAAGAAAATTTTAATTAGCCATATAAACTGTGATAAAAAAAAATGGAGAGAATTGACTATCGAAATTTAACAGAGTATCTACAAACCAAACAATATCCAGAAGGATATACTGAAAAACAACAACAACAACTACAACAGAAAGTAAAATATTTTAAATTACAAAATAATCACCTTTACAAAATCCAATGGAAGAAGAATCCCATCACCTACCTAAGAGTCTTACAGCAGCATGAAATCGAAGCAGTAATGGCCTATATGCATGGTAATAGACTGAGCGGACATTTTGGCATTGAAAATACATACCAACGAATTTTGGCAAAATATTGGTGGAATGGAATGGGAACAGAAATTAGGAACTTTGTAAAAGCCTGTCCAACATGCCAATTAACTAGAAAACGAATCAACAAACCTAAACTATATCCTATAAGGATTGGATACCCTTTTGAGAGAATAATCATTGACTTAATTGGACCCTGTAAGGAAACCACCAAAGAAAATCATTATATTGCTGTAGCAATAGATGAATTTACTAGATGGCCAGAGGCTAGGGCCATCCCAGATAAGAAAGGAAAGACCATTACTAAATTCATATATGAGGAAATAATATGTAGACATGGTTGTCCAAGGAAAATACAAAGTGATAATGGATCTGAATTTATAGCAGCCATTACCAAGGCTCTAATGGAACAATTTGGGATAAAACAAAAATTATCTACACCATATCACCCACAGACCAATGGATTAGTGGAAAGATTCAATGGGACACTAGGAAAAATAATACAGAAGTATTGTATTGCCACTGGAAGTGAATGGGACCAACATATTTCAGCTGCTCTATTTGCCTATAGAACTATAGCAAATGCTACTACAAGACATACATCATTTTCATTAGTGCATGGGAGAGAAGCCAGACTACCAATTGAAGAAAAATTTGAAAATAAAATCTTAAATGATCAGGAAAAGGAAGATTCCATCATTCAAAGAACAATTGAAATTGTTGATAAACTACCTGAACAATTAAAAGATGCAGAGAACAATATTCACAAACACCAACAACAAATGAAACAATATTATGATCGAAAGATAGCAAAGGAACAGGTTTTTCAGATAGGGGATAAAGTTCTATTGTTTAATCATAAAATAGAAGCTGAACATGGAAATAAATTTGAACCACAGTGGCAAATCCAGTGGTACTATATTCATGAAACCTATCACAATGGAACATATAAACTTCGTGATCAAAAAGATAACCTGATAAAAAGAAGAATTAATGGAGCACAATTAAAATTATATTATAAAAAAGGAAAATGAACAGCAAAATGAAAGTTAAACAAAGATCACAAACAATAACAATATCAGAATTATAAAAAAGGACTGGAAGAGTCGAAATTATGAAATTTTAATAATAATATTATTAAAAAAAAAATGGCAAATCTCTTCAATTATCTTGATCAGGATGTTCAAAAAGCAATTGAAACTATTGCTACATCATTCAGTCAATACAATTTTAATGGCAATATTATAATTGATAAAGAACAATATACTATACTGGAAACTGATGGTCAACAATATTCTTTTATCATAAATACCCAAATTAATAAAGAAACTTATCAAATGCAACAACAAGAAAAACTTTTTGATATGATGATAGAGATTAATTTTGCAGGTGAAGATTTATACCCCTCACCATTGCCATATCAACATAATCAGACCAAAGAATGGAAACAACAAGTTCAACAAGTGTTAATAGATATTATTAAAAACAAAGACCCAAATGCAACTCAACTTCAAAAATATTATCAATTGGGGAAATTATACAAGAATGTACCAAAAAGATATAACAGACAGATGAAAGCCATTAATGATGAATTAGAATTGAAATGTGGAACTAGAACCATTTGTCGTTATCAACAAGTTGCAAAAAAAGTTAAACAACTTTTCGATAAAAGAGATTTACAGCGGTTGGATCAAAATATAGACATTATCCCTCATCAAATTGGACAACTCACTAAGAAGGAATTCAAAAAATTATTAGAACAGATTCCTTTCTTCGCTGGAGCTCAGACTTCTTAAGGGAAAAATAGTATTACCAAAATGAGTAAAAATACTCTAATTTGGAAAAATATAAATTAAACAGTAAAATGAACAGCAAAGTAAATAGTAAAATGAACAGTAAAGTGAACAGTAAAGTAAAAAATGATATAAATATATATATTAGTTATAATTTAGTTAATTCTTATAGGAAATTTACATGTATAAAAGAGGAGTTTTTCCCTCTTAAT